ATAATTAATAGTAAAAATCGCTGATATAGTTAAAATAATTTGTAATAAAAATCGCTAGTATAGTTAGAATAATTCGTAGTTCCAAACGTTGGTAATTAATATTGCTGGTAGTTAAAATAATTTATAGTTTTAATCTTTAGCGGTTAAAATCGCTATTAGTGAAAATCGTTGATAGTGAAAATCGCTGATAGTTAAAATAATTTGTAGTAAAAACCGCTGGTAAGAGAGAAGAATTCCTATAGTTTCAATCGTCTGTAGTAAAATTCAATTTGATATTCTTCGGAAAAATGTCAACTAATTATTGTATCAAAATGCAATTTTAACCATTTTGGAAAAATAATACCCAATTTTCTTGTTCAAAGCAAAATTAATTGTAAATTAACTTTTAAATTAAAATTGATGGTAGCTAAAATAGTTTGAATCTTGAAAATAGATAATCTTCAGGGAATAAATTAATTCTTAGATTAAAAAACAGAAATTTCTCCTTAATTTGTCAATAAATTTTTGTTAAAAAATACCAATGACATATTTCTCGTCTAAATTCTGAAGTTCGAATTCTCAGGAGATTGCACGTCGGTCCAGAGAAAAGAAATAAAAAAACACTCAAAAATATAAAAAATGCATTTCGCGACTACAAAAGTGGAGCATAAAATTTATGAGAAGCTTCTAATGAGAAAACTGTCAACTGCGATTTAATTTCGATTAGCTTTTAAAATTCACTTTATAGAGAAAAGGAATAAATTATTTCAGCAAATAGATGCAAGGAAGTTTGTAATCACGTTAAAAATACAAAAGAGAGTTCGAAATTTTCGACTTTGCGAATAGTGTTTTCTTTTTGGAGTGGCAGAAATGTTCAATTTTTCACGTTAATGTTTAATTATTAATTATTAATTATGTTATTTTAATATTCTCTTTTCGAGTCTAAACTAAATTATGTACCTAATTAATTTATTTCTCGAGTGGATAAATCTACAGTTTGTGAAATAATCCCCAATTTTATGAGAATTTTCCCAAAATAAAAAAGTTTATTCTCCGGAAATATTGCTTATTTTGAAATTATCATTTAAAAAACAGAATAATTACAGATAGAAGAGATTTTTTCTTCTCTGGACTCTTTTGTTTTGTGTTTATAAAAATTTATTTAGTATAAACTTCCTTATATTTTCTAGATTTGATTTTGATGTGTATATATAGTAAAATCAAGTTCATCAAGTACTAGACGGAGCTATACACGCGCGTCATAACGATAAGAGGATACATAAAATGTTTCTAACATACATTTAAGCTATTCCACGTGTCGATGCTATTGATTCTTTTTAAAACAAAAGACAAATAAATTTAAAGCTGTCATTTCGGAATTACTAAATTTTCTCTATTATTTACATCTTTGTCTCGTTTCAAGGAATTCGAAAAAATACAATAAATTTTCATTCTCTCTCAAAATTTTGATAAAAATAAAACTTGATTACTTGACTTTAATTATTTATTGCATAATATTCAAAAAGTAAATATTCTCAAAATTTGAAAATTAGTTTTGAATCACTAAAAATTTGTTTTTAATTTAAAAAATTAAATTTTAATTATTCAAGATTAAATTTGAAAATTATTTTACTTAATAATTCTAACTTAATTTTTCAAGGAAAAATTTTAAAAAATTTCTCAAAAAACAAAATTTTTATTAAAAAGTTCTACAAGAATTCAATTATTTAAATAGGTACAAAAATAAATAAATTGAATAATTGAATACTTCTAAATTTTATTCTTATAAATAATTTGACAATTAAAAAAAAATAATTGTATTTCTGAAAAAGTTTTATTATTGCAAAAAATAATAGAAAACTTTAGAAGCATTTTATTTAGAGTCATTCCATTATATTTCGACTAAAGTCGTTGCCGACTAATTTTAAAAAATTGTAATATTTTGCAGGAATGATTTTAAAGATATTAGGATCACCGAACAAAAAGAATTTTTTAAATATTTTTTATATTTATTGTAAAATAAGCATCTAAAGTATATGAAGTCGTAAAAACTGACACTTTTTCATCTAATAGAAAATATTAAAGAAAACACATAATTTACTATAAAAACGTAAAAAAATTATTAGAATTTATTAAGAATGAATTATTTTATTATTATAAATTGATAGAAACAATTATTAATAAGAAATATTAAATAAAAAATAATTTTAAAGTTTACATGGAAAATAACCTATTTTTGCAAATTTCATTCACTAAATATGAGAAAGAGAAATCATTAAATTGGATAAAACCTTATGAAATATAAAGTACCTGTGATTAACTTTTAGTTTTTCTTATCACTTTCTTCCTGTTTTCTTCACAAATATTAAAAAATAAGCAATTAAAATTGGCACTTTGCTTATTTTCACGATTTTCAAATGTAAATAACTTTTGCCTAGAAAAATGAAAAATTACGAAAATTGGGCAATAATTAATTCATCACTAGATACACTTACTGGAAAAAGATTTTCTTTGGTCCCGAAGCTATTTCTCGAATTAATTAACTTTAAACTTTTTACTATTTTTATCAGGTTAATACATGTGGTTTTTAAAGGACGAAGTTAGCTCTTCTTGTTTAATCTTTTTGAACCAACTTCAGTTTTAAAGAAATCACATGTATTAACCTGATAAAAATAGTAAAAAGTTTAAAGTTAATTAATTCGAGAAATAGCTTCGGGACCAAAGAAAATCTTTTTCCAGTAAGTGTATCTAGTGATGAATTAATTATTGCTTAATTTTCGTAATTTTTCATTTTTCTAGGCAAAAGTTATTTACATTTGAAAATCGTGAAAATAAGCAAAGTGCCAATTTTAATTGCTTATTTTTTAATATTTGTGAAGAAAACAGGAAGAAAGTGATAAGAAAAACTAAAAGTTAATCACAGGTACTTTATATTTCATAAGGTTTTATCCAATTTAATGATTTCTCTTTCTCATATTTAGTGAATGAAATTTGCAAAAATAGGTTATTTTCCATGTAAACTTTAAAATTATTTTTTATTTAATATTTCTTATTAATAATTGTTTCTATCAATTTATAATAATAAAATAATTCATTCTTAATAAATTCTAATAATTTTTTTACGTTTTTATAGTAAATTATGTGTTTTCTTTAATATTTTCTATTAGATGAAAAAGTGTCAGTTTTTACGACTTCATATACTTTAGATGCTTATTTTACAATAAATATAAAAAATATTTAAAAAATTCTTTTTGTTCGGTGATCCTAATATCTTTAAAATCATTCCTGCAAAATATTACAATTTTTTAAAATTAGTCGGCAACGACTTTAGTCGAAATATAATGGAATGACTCTTTAATTTTTTTGTATAAATAATTAAATTATCGTCAAACAATTTATTATTTGTATAAATAATTTAATTATCGTCAAACATTTTATTATTTGGAAAAATAATTGAATTATTGTGAAGAATTTTATTAAAATTTTCAAAAGAAATTGAATTTTCTTAAAAGAATTTTCTATTGATAAAAACAATTGAATTCTTGTGAAGAATTTATTTCAATTTTTTTTTAAATAATTTTATTCTTGTGAAAATTTTTATTATTTGAGAAAATAATTAAATTCTTGCAAAGAATTTTATTAAATTTTGTTTAAATAATTGAATTCTCGTGAAAAAATTTAAAATATTTCTTAAAATCAAATTCTTATACACTCGAATCTCGCTATAACGAGAAGTTCGGGAGTCAAGTCTCCCTCTATTACGAGCGCAAGAGGAAAAATGAGAAATCCCCACTTTTAAGATTCTTCATTCATTTTTTTTAGTGTTTACAATTTACATAATGTCAAAATTACAAACGTAACCTAGTTTAATTTGAACTTTAACGTACAGAAAATTTATATAAGCTAAAATTTTGAAGATTGATATAATTTCAAATAAGAAGTGACCTTTTATGACTTTTTTATTTTATTTTATATAAATAAAATTGATTTTAACCAACTTTAAACCAAATGAATGTGCATTTGTTTATAAATAGTGGGGGTAATCGGGAGGAAATTTTCCTCGCTATACCGAGAGACAGAGCTCTCGTTATAGAGAGCGCTCGTTATAGAGAAGGTCGTTATAGCGAGATTTGAGTGTATATAAAGAATTTTATCAAAAATTTTTTAAAATAAATAAATTCTTTCGAAGAATTTTAATAAAATTTTGAATTTTTTTATTAAAATTTTATGAAAAGCATTTTACTATTTATGAAAATAATTGAATCTTGAGAAGAATTTTATTCAACTTTTTTTGTATAAATAATTGAATTCTTGTGAAGAATTTTATTCATTTTCTTTTAAATATTTAAATTCTCGTGAAAAATTTTGTTATTAGAGAAAATAATTGAATTCTTGCGAAGAATACAATTTATTAAATTTTTTTAAATAATTGAATGTTCGTGAAAAATTTTAAAATATTTTTTAAAATAATATTCTTATACCTACATAAAGAATTTTATAAAAAATTTTTCAAAATAATTGAATTCTTTCGAAGAATTTTAATAAAATTTTTAAGAATAACTGCATTTTTTGAAGAATTTTTTAAAAATTATATTATTAAAAATAATTTAAATTCTTCGATAAATTTTATTATTCATGAAAATAATTGAATTACTGTGAAGAATTTAATAAAAATTCTCTCAAATAATTAATTTTCTTTTTGAAAATGGAATGAAAATTGAATTTTAAATCATTGAATTCCTATAATAACTCTATTAAAATTCTATTTTTAATTAATATTTTTAATTTTCTTATTCTAAAGCATTTTCTTATTTATGAAAATAGGAATTGAATTCCAACGAAGAAATTTATAAAAATTATTTTAAATACCTAATTGATTTTTTTCGAAAAAGTCAATGTGGAAATGGAAAAAATATTTTCTCTGTAAAATTCTCCCCAGTGGCGAGAAGTGAAAAAAAATTGAAATATAATGACGATTGAAATATATAGAATAGTTGAATCAACAAGCAAGCATCTCTTACCTTCAGGGAGGCCATGTCAGACACGGATCGATGAGTTTGAATAGTTTCTAACTGGTCCAGGCACCAATCCAATTCCTCCATCGTTTCCACAGCTAGTTTCACGTAGGGCTCCTCTGCAATAAACACCAAAAATTATTGAAAAATCTCAAAAGAATTCCAATAAAAATTGAGAAGCAAAAAAAATAAACAAAAAAAAACAGAAAAATTCCCCAACTAAATTGAAAAACTCCTATTTCTTTTTGTAAAAAGATACACACAGATATAAACTCTTTTTAACGAAAAAAACTATATATACAGCAATTCTCAATTCATTAGTTTCAGAATGTTTTCCAGGGAGCCCGCAAACTTTTCTCCTTTAGAACAACAGTTAAGTTTAAATTTACTTTGTAAAAACTTTCCTAGGAACATCTACACTTTTCAGTTGTACCTTTATCTCGGGAACGTGAAATAAAGCACATGAAATAAATAAATGAGAATAAAAAAAGAAAATGGGGACTACAATCCCATTTTGCAAATTTCTTTCATCCTTTCATTTTACTTTTACATTTATTTAAATATTTAATTAATTTATTAATTTATTAATTAATAATGAGTGATTAAAAATACGAAAATTTCAAGCGCAATCAATTCGCCTTGTAGAATCTTCATTATTCTCTTAACGAAGATAAAGCAAATGTGTGTGACCTTTGAAGATATTATTAGCTTTGAACGTTGAAAATTTTTCGTCTAATAAAGGTCAAAATCGGATTAGCTCTAAATCTGATTACCTCTTGAATTTATCAAAGTGTTGCTTGTCTACCCGGATAATTGTTATATTAAATCCAAATCTGCCTATTATCAAAATTAAATACATTTGGATTTTATGAACCAAAAACAAAACAACAAAAAAACAAATAAAATACGTCCCTTCAAAATTTTTGTTATTACAAATTTTATTAAAATAATAGGTATCAATAAATATAAATAATTTCATTATGTCATCAAAATAATTAATTTTTTACCCCATGGCTTTACTAATTATTAATTAATTTTAGTAATAATGAAAAATAAGTAATAATTTCTTATTTATTTTGTAAATAAATAATTAATGATTATTAATTATATTTATTATTAAAATTATTAACTACTCATTTTTTATTCGTACTCTCTAATTTTGAATTAGTAAATTAGTAAATATTTAACAAAATTCTTCTTCTGTATTTTAAATAAATCCCAATAAAATAATAAAAAAATAATAAAATAATTTCCAAATAATTTTTCTCCTTCGAAAATTTTTAAATTATTAAAAGTTTTCCTTCTGACGAAAAAAAATTTTATAATTACCTCCGGGTGCCAGGATCCGTGGTTGAGGCGTACTACTGCCCTGGGCTGCACTACTCCTCCTCGATCTGAATAAAAAAAATTACAAAAAATTACTTGAAAATTTAGAAAATTAATTTCTATCAAAGGGCGAAAATTATTAATTAATTATTTATTTTTCCTTTTGTTCTTGACATTTTTGTTATTTGAAAAAATTATCCCCTTTTGCCTCGGTTTTTGCAAAATAAACAAATAAATAAATAAATTGCAAAATCTGTAATTAAATTCAAATATTCTGAATAATAATCTCAGTGTAAGATGCAAATGATATTTCCCACCATATAAAGAGAGGGACAAGTTTATTTTTTTTATTTTTTATAATTTTAAATAATTGATAAAAAAACCGTTAAATTGTATAATATGAATGATACAAGTATTACTATAGCCTTCACATCAAGTCACTATATTTGGAATTTTAAATCAGTTACATTATTGAATAGCTGAATAAGTGCTTTTTATCGAAAAGTTCTTTTTATTTTTGATTTATTTCCTGTTCTCTTTTCCATCTATCTTGGTTGAAGAAAAATTGATTTCACTCAAGATCAAACAGAAAATTGTATATATATACCTACATTAAGTAACCGAGATTTAAATTTTTTTTAGAATTTCTAATATCAAAAAACACACCTTTTGGGTCATAAATTTAAGGATATGACGTAAATTTATTATTGAAAATTTATTCCAAAATAATATTTCGATTCAATTCAATCAAATTTCAATAAAAAAATAATAAATGAAAACCAAATCTGAAAAATGATATTTTCTCTAGAATTATTTATTCGTATTCATGAAAATAAAAATAAAAACCAAATCTAACAATTTTTACTCTAAAAAATACTAAATTTACTTTTTAGCTTCTTTTTTTGGTGAAAATAAAATTAAAAACTAAATATAACAGAATAATTTTTACTCCAAATAATTCTAAATTTGTTTTTTTAGTTTTTTTTGGTGAAAATAAAAATAAAAACTAAATCCAACAGAAAAATTTTTACTCTAAATAATTCTAAATTTGCTTTTTAGTTTTTTTGTGAAAATAAATAAAAAAAAATAAAAATAAAAGGTATATCTAACAGAAAAAATTTTACTCTAAACATCTAATTTTGCATTTTTTATTTTCTTCTCAAATATTTGTTTCCAAAAATAAAGTGGAATCAATTTCTTCTAAAGGAATTTTAACTTCGAAATTCTAATTTTCTTTCAAAATATAAAATTCAGAAAATAAAATTACGGAAATTTTTAATGTTTAGAAAATAAAATAATAGGGTAAACGTACCAATTGTCGAGGATGGTTCCTGTTGTCGAGTAAACAAACTTTGAATTTTATTTAAACAGTGTAGCACATTGTAAATGAAAAAAAATAATAAATATTAATTTTTTTATGCGTTATAAATGTAAAAAAAATATATTAATATTATATAAACAAACAAATGAGACATTTTAGACAATATTTTTTGGTTATTACCATGGTAACATCGACAAATGGAACACCCTCGGCAATTGGTACACTTACCCTACTTTCTCTCGTGTGATAAAATATAAAATAACAAAATTTACTCACTTGTTCGTAGGGACGTTCGTAAGTGATAAAAAGTTGTTCCTAACCGAACGCAGAGAAGCGAGGATTTGTGCGAAGGGTGTGACGATGAGGTCCTCGCCATGACTGTAAAAAAAGATTTTTTTTTATAAATTTTTAATTTTTTTTACACAAAATAACAAATATAAAATTAAGAACACTGTCAACAAAATTAATATAAAGCATTTTGCAAAGCCAAACATGCCAACAACATTTATATGCGTTACATCGTCACCTTTACCCGTTTCGTAGGGTCTTCTATATAGATAGAATTAGAAAACAAAATAAAATACTTGTTTTAAAACAAATATTTATTTTTTGTTATTTAAAAAAAAAACAAAAAAAAACAAATATTTATACAAACAATAAATTTAAATAAAAAATAGAAAAGTTTTTGTATCATTAAAAAGAATTTTCTTTTCTGATACAAAATATACATACATATGTATACTTATTTTAATAAAAAAAGAAAAACCAATCAATTTGACGGAAATTCATAACACAGATGCTAAAATAAAAAAATTTCATTTGCGAGATAATTCTACTTGGAAAATTGTAAAAAAAATTAAAGATCCAATAAAAGGGAAGGAATTAAAAGTCAAAGAGCAATCTATAGGCAATTAAGAAGCAAAAAAAGATTCATTGGGTACTAATACAAAAGGAGGATCTACAGAATAAGAAAATGTTAAATTTAAATTAAAATCAGAAAATTTTTTTTTGCCATGAAATAATTTTAATATTGTATATTAATTATTATTATTTTAATATTGTAATATTTATAATTGTACCTAATATTAATTATGATAATAAAAATAATATTCTCTCTAAATTTGAATTAGAATATTTAGTAATTTGAATTTGTGTTTAATTTTTTGCTTTTCAATTAGTAAATTTGACTAATTTAGTAGAAATTACTATTTATTAGTAAAATTAATAAATATTAATATTATAAATTTTAATGAAATTAGTCAATTTTACTAATAAATTATTAGAAAATATTATTTATTAGTGAAATTTACTAATTCAAAAGCAAAACATCAATTAGTACTTAAACATTTTTACTAATTCAAATTTAGAGAGTAAATATTGAAATTAACATTCAAATTAATTTTTATATTAATATTAGGTAATATTACAAATACTATTAAAATTTTTTGTTTCATTTCTTTCATTTTCATTTTGATATTAAAAGTAATATTAGCAATTATTAAAAATAAATAATATTTTGATTACAATAAAGAAATTTCTCCTCGATAACAATGAATGTTTAAATAAAGAAAAAACTCTGCAATAAATAAAAAAACATTTTTAATAAGAATTATACATTTTTGATTGAAAATATATCTCACTTGTGCTCTAATTTTCTGACATAAATGAAAGAAAGCAGATGAGAGGGGAAAATGGAAAAATGGGAGTAGCACAGTGAATCTTTAACCGGAAAATGGAAAATGGAAGATCTCAGTCACGCGAACCAAGAATTTCTCTTTATTATACGTTTTATAGGAACTTTCATGAGTATCGCTATTAATGTTTTTGTTCGTAACATTTTAACCCACTATTTCTATATATAATTTAATTAAAAATTTTTTTTCTTTTCATCCGCACAAGATAAAAAAGAAATAGAAACTCTGACGTAATTTCAAATTATTTTCCCGCACAAAAGAGAAATAATTCAGTGTTTTCTTATAAATAATAAACCGCGAGTGAATATAAATTCTAAAATGTACAAAAACCTTGAAAATCTCTCTCTCTATATACAGGAAGAAAACTTTAGAGAAGCAGAAAAACAAAACACAATCAGAGAGATAGTGAAAGGAAAAATGCAAAAAAAAAAATTTTTGCAAAATAATAATTGATAAATAATAAATAAATAATTGTGGGAGAATGATAAGACGAGTGAAACGAAAATAAATAATAGTAAATAATAAATACTTAAGTTAACAAATACTTAAAAGTGAATAAGTAACAAAAATTAATAAATAAGTTGTAAACAAGCTACAAATAAGCTATTAATAAACAATTAATAAATAATAAATCAGTAATAAAGAAAGAAATAATTAATAGATAAATAATAAATAAATAATTGATAAACATTAAATAAGTTAGAGGCATTTCACGTCAGAAATATCACGATTTGCAAAGGGTATGCCGATTTTCGCAAAACTTCGTGGGATTATAGTTCTATATAAGAGACTTCTTTCCCCCAAATTTTTTCAAAAAAAATTTAAAATTGTTGAAGATACGCCATTTTGAATTTTAATATTAATTTTATAAAATTTTGAATATCTCGGAATATTGTTTATGGATTTTTATAAAATTTTACACCTTTTTCAGGTAAAAGTATTTACTCAAAAATGCAAATAAAGTTAATAAAAAAAATTAATTTTTAAATAAAAAAATAAAAAAAAATTTTTTTAAACAATTTTTTGTTTATTTACTCCTCTCTGAGAAAAATGTTATTAACATATTTGGATTCCTTATGAATTCACCTTTAATTTCATAAAAATAAATTGATGGAGACTCAACTGGTTCCGGAGATATTGAATTTTTTGTAAAAAATAGTCATAGTTACAGCAGCAATGTACGACTGCGGTAACGTACTACGCGACTTGTGCAGTATGGTGCTATGGCGCGGCGACGCTTTTTTTCACAAAAAATTCAATATCTCCGGAACCAGTTGAGTCTCCATCAATTTTTTTTTATGAAATTAAAGGTGAATTCACAAGGAATCCAAATATGTTAATAACATTTTTCTCAGAAAGGAGTAAATAAACAAAAAATTGTTTAAAAAATTTTTTTAAAATTTTTTTATTTAAAAATTAATTTCTTTTATTAACTTTATTTGCATTTTAAAGTACATACTTTTACCTGAAAAAGGTGTAAAATTTTATAAAAATCCATAAACAATATTCCGAGATATTCAAAATTTTATAAAATTAATATTAAAATTCAAAATGGCGTATCTTCAACAATTTTAAATTTTTTTTGAAAAAATTTGGGGGAAAGAAGTCTCTTATATAGAACTATAATCCCACGAAGTTTTGCGAAAATCGGCATACCCTTTGCAAATCGTGATATTTCTGACGTGAAATGCCTCAGTAGTAAATGAAATCAATAAGTAATAAAGAAATAAATAGTAAATAAATAAAAAATAAATAATAATTAGATTAATTAATAAATTAATAAATAAATTAACTAATAATTAATTAACGGAAGAAGCACAATAAAAATTAATTAATAACGAATAAATAAATTATTAAACTAATAATAAATTAATTAATTAATTAATAATAAATGAATCATAAATAAAGAAAATAGAAAGAAAAAACAAAAGGAAAGTGTGAAAAAGAAAATTACAAAAAACAGAAATGGAAAATAAAAATCCCGAAACAGACATAAAATCAAAAATAGAAAAAATCACAAAAAGGATTTGTTGATTTAAAAATAAAAATTACAAAAAAAACTCTACGTGGGATGAAAATTTCTATTTCTAACACAAATACAATATCATTTTTTCGAAAAAAGAAAAAAATGTATATTTATTATTATCTATAAAAGATAATTATTCATTAAAAAGAAAAAAAATGTTCTATATTTAATCGTTGGAATAAATTTCCTTTTTTTATACATTATTCATTGCTTATAAGTACATTACGAACATTCATATTATATATATACATAAAAAATTTTATATCATTCATCGAAACGAATGAATTGATCATGTACTTCTGCTTTTCAGAAAATTTCTAAATTTAGCAGAGACTCTCAAATTGTATAAAGATGTTCAGAAATGAGAAAATTAGAGTAAATCAGAGAAAGGTCAAAGTTCATTAGGGGGAATATCGCAAAACGCTAGCTACTGAACTGTAAAATCAGATAATGATACAGTTGGCAAATTAATTCCCTCAACTCGAAATTATTATTAAAATAAAGAGATGTTTATAATCTTCATTTATAAAAATAAACATTAAAATTTTCTTTCTTTAAAGCATTATTTTTCTTTTTCCTTATTTTTATTTTTCTCCTCCTTTCCCTTTTTTTCTTTTTTTCTTTTTTTTGCCTTTTTTCTCTCTTTTTCCTTCTTTCCCCTTTTTTCTTCTTCTACTTTTATATATTTTCCCTTTTTTCTCTTACTTCCATTTTTCTGCTTTCCCTTTTTTTCTCTTTTTTCCCTTACTTTATTTCCTTATTTTATTCCTTTCCCCTTTTTTTTCTTTTCCTCTTTTTTCTATTTTTCTCTTTTCTATTTTCCTCTTTTTCCTATTTTTTTTCTTTTTCTCTTTTTCATATTAATTTCGAATTCTTCAAAAAGAAAAAAAAATGTGCTCGAGAGAAGAAAAGTCCTTTTTGCTCCGAAACCCCCTTAAGACTTAAGGATTGTTTCAGAGAATGAATTGTTTATTATCAATAAACTAAAAAATTGTGTGGGTGTTGTATTAGGAATGGCTTTTCTCAAACAAAACGAATATTTTGATGGAATTTTTTTTTCTTTTTTTGGTCAAATCCAGAAACGTAGGCGAGACGATGAGCTTTCTACAAATGCGTCATAATTGAGATAGCTTGTCGAGTTCTCAATGTTACCAATTGTGATGAAAAATAAATAACCCAAAAAAAAGAAGTTAATCTCTAAAAAACTGAAAATGGAAAAAAGCAGTGAAAAAAAGAATGAACTTTATCTCACGTCAGCGTTGAACAAAAAAATATTTTTTAATTTGCATTTATCAATTCTTTCTTTTTCGAGACTATTGAGATTTGTTTCAAAAATTATTTCAATATCAAAAATTTGTTTTCAATAATTGATTATTGAAAACAAATTTTTGAAATATTGTATTAATTATTATTGAAATTTTTTTTTTGAATTTTTTGAATTTAATTGTCGATTAAAATTATTATTGATTGTGAATGGCACTGATTATTTTATTACTCTCAAAATATTATTAAATATCAAAGAAAAAAAATTTCTCCAAGTGTCAGGATTCGATCGCACAACGCAACGTTATGAAGTCGATACCATAGCCACCTAATTTTTTTTTTTTTTTAAATGTTTCTTTTTATTTCACAATATAATTTGTACATACAACGTAGGA